TTTAAGATTCCACATATAAGTGAGATCATGCTGTATTTGTTTTTCTCTGTCTGACTTATTTTACTTGGTATAATGCCCTCAAGTTACATCCATGTTGTTGCAAATGGCAGGATTTCCTTCTTTTTAATGGCCGAATAATATTCCTCTGTGTCCATCTGTCCATATGTGTGTGTGTATCACATTTTCTCTGTCTGTTCATCTGTCGTCGGGGGCTTAGGCTGTTTCCATGTTTTGGCTATTATGAATAATTCTGCAGTGAACATGGGGTGCAGATATCTTTGAAGTAGTGATTTCATTTCCTTCAGGTATATATCCAGAGGTGGAATTGCTTGATCATATGTAGTTCTATTTAAAAAAAAATATTTTAGGAATCTCCATAATGTTTTCCATAGTGGCTGCACAAATTTACCTTCCCATCAACAGTACACAGGGGTTCCCTTTTTCTCCACATCCTCACCAGCACTTATCTCTTGGCTTTTTGATAATAGTCATTCTAATAGGTGAGGTGATACCTCATTGTGGTTTTGATCTGCATTTTCCTGATAATTAGAGATGTTGAACACCTTTTCATGTGCCTGTTGGCCATTTGAGTATCTTCTTTGGAGAAATACCTACATGTCATTCAATAAGATGCTTGATTGTTCAGGGTCAGTCTTCCCACTATGACAGATAAGGATTTAGCTCTCTTCCCCTCCCACCCCAAAACCTCATCTTCCCAATGTAATTAATATCATAACTTTGATTAGATCAATGGCTTCCATTTATATTATTGTCTGTTTGTTATTAAGAACTGAGTCTTGTAGTGAAAGTTTGATTACGTTATTATTTCTGTACACCATGTGAGTTTTTCATGGAGTTAATAATTGTCCTATTGTTTGCTCTTCTCGTTTGCCTGGTTTTGCATGTTATTTACCAGCCCCAGACTTTTTGAAAGTTGCTTAAATCTTTGAAGATGCTCAGGTCCATCAAGCGTTCCCTCAGTTTCATCTCCCTGAGGCAGTCTGTCTGGGGCCCTGTAGCCTGCCCTACAGGACGTGGGTCACCTCTCTGGTGGGCGCACAGCTGGCTCCTGGGACGGCCCTTCCCGTCACTCTTCGGGTGCCCTTTGTGTCTTTCTTGCATTGGACTGTCTGTCTTCCTCTTACTTGGTTTACTGCCTCCTTTTGAAGCATATCTTATACATTCTAGTAGCTTCCAGAGAATAGGATGTGTGGGAGGTGAATCCATTTTTGAAACTTTGCATGTCTGAAAGTGTCCCTATTGTGTATAATTTTTGTCTTCTCTCTCTTTTTGGAAGCTTGTAGGAGCTTGTCTTTATTCCCAGGGTTCTAAATCTCACAATGATGTGTCATGATTTGGGTGATTTATACCCAGTGTCCTGGGTATTGTGTGCCCTTTTAGTCTGGAAACTCATGGCCCCTTAAATTTGGGGAAATTTTCTTGAATTGTTTAACCAACAGTTTTCGCCCTTCTCTTTTCTCTGTTGTCTTTTCCTGGGGCTTCTGTTGCTTGGATATTGAGCCTCGTGAACTGGTCTTCTATTTTTCCTTCATCGTTTTGGCTTTTTTTCTTTTCTTTCTTTCTTTCTTGGGAGATTTCCTCAGCCTTATATTCCATCTTACTCCTGTTAGTGAGTTTTTCTTTTCTTCTGTCATGTTTTTAAGTCGCTTTACTTTGGAACGCTCCTTTTAAATCTTACACTGTTCTTGTTTCAACACTGCAGTAAATTCTCTGATCTCTTGGTGTGTATCTGTTTGGTGTTTTCTGAAGTTTTCTTCTCCTTGTATGGTCACTGTCCTCCAAGTTGCTTGTTCTGTTTGTTTTGGTCTCTTTTGAGTTTTGCATTAGGGGCTTTCTAAAGATGCCTGGAGGTCCTTAATTGTCTGTAGGCATTTAGGAGTAAGGGACTAAAGTGGCAGTTGGAGCTCTGAGTGAATACATAGGGCTTGCCAACTGTTAAGTTTCGTCACAGGCTGATCGTAGTGTACTTCCAGTGTCAGTATCCTTAGCTGTCTTCTCCTGGGGTGGTCAGCTTTTTTTCATTCTTCTGTCCGGAGGGTAAAAGCCTGGTTGTCAGTGTTCTGGGAGCCCAATAAGGGAGGATGGCTGGCGGTCTTAGCATCTGATATGCATATGTTCATTTAATCCGATTTATTTGCCTTCAACTGTGCTATTCTCCCCTAGAGGTCCTCTCTTTTATTCTCTAGAAAATAAGCCTCCAGTTATTTGCTGGTCTCTGTGGGCAGTGGTTGGAGAGCCCCGGTGTGGGGAGTAGGGGTGGCCCTCTGGGGATCTAAGCCCTTCTTGGTCATTCAGCCAGTCCTGCTTAGTTTGGTACCCTTCTACCTCCAGCCTTTTTGGGGCTTCTTAGGGGTACAATGAGGTCTTCTCCTTCTCACTGCTCACTTAGGGTTCTGCTCTGCTGTGTCCGTCGCTGCTCTTCCATCTCTGTTCTAGCTTCCAGTATTTCACAGTTATTAGCTCCTATTTTATTCTCTCTGTTCTTTTTGGTTTATGCCTTTAAAAAATTCCTTTTACTGTCCTTTAATTGGGTTTTGGGAGAAAGCAATTTAGGTCTTTACCCATTCTTTAAATAGGATTATGTTTTCTTGCTTATTGAGTCGTGTGAGTTTCTTATATATTTTGGATCTAAACTCCTTATTAGAGATGTGTTCAATCTTCCATTTTTACCTGAAGCCTCACTGTTGCTGTCTATTTACTGAACTCCCAAGGGTCTAAAGTTTTTATTGGTTTATGTATTTGTTTATTTACATTTATTTTAATGGAGGTACTGGGGATTGAACCCAGGACCTCACGCACCATCCCACTGAGCTGTATCCTCCCCCCTGAAGTTTTTAAAAGGAAAGTTCAATGACCAATGGTAAACACTCCAAGACATGTTATAGAGAAAGAATGACCAGACCACAGCCCTTTGACGAACAGAGTCTCGTTATTAGAGATTTCTCTTTTAAGCCAAGGCAATTCAGAGGATTTAGTTACTTACCCACAGTTTCCGTCCTCTTCTTCCATCTCCATCTCCCCCCGGCTAGTGCCAGCTCTCACTGTGTTGTCCAGTCCAAACTGAAGTTCTTCATGGGGCAACCATGGGGAGGCATGAGGTTGCAGAGAATGAGGCAGTTTGGGGAAGACAGAAGAATGAGGGAGGTGGGCCAGTGAGGCAGCATGTCATGTCAGATCCATGCCAGGCTTTAATCAAGGCTGCTAGGACTGGCTCTACCTTCTTCCTGTCTTGGGATCACAGCAGCGATTCTCTCTAAAGCTCTGGTTTTCCTTCAAGCCCAGTAGAAGGAAGCCAAGCACATCACCAGACTGTCTCCAGCATCACTGGATTTGATTGTCTCTTTAAAGAGGAGCATGCCTTCAGCTTCTTAGTCAGCTATGGAGAAAGTGACCTCAGGAGTGTCCATTCTGATTCCAGAAGCAGCAGCAAACTTACCAGCCACTTGGAGAGAATGGTGCCTCTGTGATGGGTTTCCAGCAGCATGCTCTTCTTCAAGTGTCTCCTCTAATGACTTCCAAACTTAAGATCATGGCATATTTATTCAAACCTGACATCATATTTATTCTTGGCTTAAGTTTAAGTCTTTCTTTCCTATTGAAAATTTTGTTTTTCATTAGAGGAGTTCTATAATACATTTCGGATCTAAGTTGGTAGAATTTCAGAGGTTAATGAATAATGACCCCTTCTAACCTTCCTAGTTCAGAATTAGTTGAGAGATAAAAAGCCAAGCATAAGGGGGGCGGGGGTCAAAATCTAATCTATTACTGATTTTTATGGGTAAAGCTCTTTGTTCTGCTGGCCAATATAGGCATGTTGATATTTCGACCCTGAACTTGACTTCTTCTTCACTCACTGATCGAATTGGACAAACACAGGCTACTCTGTAAGTAGCTCCTCCAGAGGAGTCAGAAGGGGCTGAGGGAGAGGCTGGCGTGGTACCCTAGCGGAATCCTCCCCATGGGAACATGAGGAGTGGAGGACTATGTTCATAATGTGAGGTGATGCCGGCTGCCCTGAAGATGCAAAATCAATTTATAGCAGATGCTCAGAAAAAATACTTTGTTAAATCATGTTGAATGACACATTCAGATTTCAGTAACATTAAAATCATTTTCCCAGCTTAGAAGAAAGGAAGCATGGTGTCATGAGTTATCAGTTATTTGTTCCTTTGGGAAAACTCTTCTTCACAGTTTGGACTAAATGGAGACACACCTTTGACTGTGGTAGGGAGCCCCAGCTACAAATTCCAGTCCTGTTACAAACCAGCTGGGAGTGCTTGGCTCCACTGAACCTCTCTAGGCCTGTTTTTCATCTGCTTAATGAGGAATGGGGACCACCCCTGGTACATTTACAGATAAAAAGGATGAAGGATAAGACCTGAACTTCCACAGATAAGTCGTTTCAGGGTTGGGACTGAAAGCCAGCTACTTTCTTTCCTTAGTCTCACTGTTTTTATTTTATTTTTTTAACTATATCCATTTTGGATTGACTTGAATTGAATTTAGAGAAAGTAGTTTAGCAGCACAGAAGTAATCATTCATTTGTTCATTCACTCATTCATTCATTCATTTAACAGAGCATCTTTTTTTTCTTTTTTTTTTTAAATGCCAAGTACTGTGCTAGGAAATAGGATAAGACATGTTCTTGACTCCATAGCAGCCGGCAGTCTATGCCCTTATGTGTTTGTGGCTATTAGTGACCACTTCAACCACCACCCTTTATTTATAGCCTCACTTGAAGGGCTTCAAACTGATCCCTGGAAGAGGTCCAGACCTCTTGGATCTGCTCTGAATTCATCACCTCTCTTCTGCTTTCCCTGAGACCTCGAGCAGTGCCCCTTCAGTTGACACGACCCACCTCCAAGAATTCGCTCATACCAACTCAGCACACAAGCCCTTCAAGCGCCTGAAGAGAAATGAGAGAGTAAGGTCCGAAACCATACATTGGCCTCATTAGATTTTTCTCTTCCTGTTTCCAGGGTGCTCAAGCTGGCATTACTATGTAACCATGCCGATGCCAGCCTCCACCTTCACAATTGCAGTGGGGTCCTGGACAGAAATGAAGCCAGAGACCTCCTCATCAAATGATCTGGCAACAGAGAGATCCTTCTCACCTTCCGAGGCTGATTTCAGGTCTGTATTTGGGAACTTGCTGAAAAACAAACACTTGAGGGAGCAGTATGATGCATTTATTCCAAGCACTGGGAATGTGAGTCATCCCTGCTGAGAAACTAAACCAAAATATGATTAATCAAAGCAGGAAAAGCCCTCCTGGGAGGGGAAGAGGAGAGTCAAGAGGCAGAAATGTGGGCATGTTGTTTATGCAGATAGAAAGAGAAAAGAAAAGAAATATACATGACATCCTCCGTGAAGACAGGTGAAATATTTTTATGCATTTAAGTCAACAGAATCTTCAGATTCAATACTTTCTCTACTCCTACGCCTTTTGACTTTGGCTTTCAGTGCTTATTTGTTCAAAAATACAACTTAATAAAAAGAAGTTGCTTGTCTGGTGAGTTACTCTGTGGCCACTCTGCTGTTTTGGCTCCAGTGACTGCTATTGGCAGTGCCTTTGGAGGGGCAGCCCTCCCTCAGTGGGGGGAGTCAGCCTCCTTAGGAGCACACGACACAGGGGAGCTGTCAGGAGGCCACTGGGTTCTGAGAATCTTGCTGGGTCAGGGCTCTGTCAACTTCAGTAGCAATTTCTTCTTTCTCAGGGTAGATCAGAGAAAATCAGTTTAAGGTTTTTAAAAATTAGTATTGGCTTCTGAATGTTCACTTACAGCCTCCCCGGACGTTCAACTGTTTCTAGTTTTCAGAGCCATAAGGGAGGAGAGTGCATGTAAGAGGCACAGAAGTGTGCTAACTGTGCATTGCTGCTTCATACTTGACTCTATGACTTTGACACCCACCTCAGTTTACAGAAAGTCACTGAGTCAGTACCTTGTGGTGGGGAACGCCCAGAGTAATAGTACAGATGCCTAGTTCATCCTTGAAAACCAACTAAGGTACGCTCTTAGTGCAGACTCCTTTTGTGTTGGCTTTATTTTGCTATGTGCTGTTACTCTGACCACAGTGACAACAGTGGTTGGTATCCTTAGGAGATGGAGCCATTGAGGCCTCTTGTAACATAGCACGTCTCACTGCCCGCGTTTGCTTTTCACAAGCAGGGAGGTAATTTCTACTTTCTGCTCAGTAACTTGCCCTATTTTGGACTGTCTGCCCTGAGCTATACAGAGGATCCTAGGTTGCTTATTGGATTTTATTTACGCACTCTTGAGGGAAGAAGAGGATTGTGGACATAAGTGGCATATGTTACTTTCATGGGAGAACATTTAATTGCTTGTGAGATGCTCTGGCCCTCTCTTCCCTGGCACCGAGATCACAGAGTAGGCCTCGTTTTACAGTTGCAGGCAGCCCAGATTTCTGAGGGGGGGAGGGCAGGTGCCCTGGAGAGTCACTTGGATCCACTGTGGACTGGATATGTGTGAGAAATACACCTTTTTGTGTTAAGCCCCTGAGACCCGGGTTATTTGTTACTGCAGCATATCCTAGCCTACGCTGAATTGATACAGAAGCCATCGGATGTCTGCCGTCAGGGCAAGTCTTGATCTAAATGTGATCTTAGTCCTGAGTGATAAGCTTCTAAGATAGACAGGTTTTATTATCTCCGTTTTTCAGGTAAAGGTACTGACACTTCAGGCAGCCTCTCAGTCCTTTTCCTACCCCTACTGAGCTCAGATACCTGGATTCACACCTGGGTTTGACCTTCTAGAGACGTGGTTTAGAATCTTACCTGGGGACTTTTCAAAACTATATGTAGTATCCACGCCTCACCTGGAGTCTGATGTACCTTCTCACCTGAGAGTCAGCACCGTGATTGAGCGGCCGGTATCGACTGGAGTGTGTCTCACGTGGGCACAGGAAACGGAAGTTGTGAGCTCGGCCTTTAAGGCTGAAGGTGCCATTCCTGCCGACTGGGTATGTGCGTCTGGGCAAGCCGTACCCCCTGCTCTGTAGGATAAAGGCTCTGTTTGGGGTCCTCAGGTTCTTTGTGGTGAAGGGGCGCCGAGCTCTTCTTTGGCACCCTCAGGGCTGATGGAGCGTTAGGGGAGGTGTGCGTGGAAAAATGTGTGCCTTAGGAAGGCTAGGAGAAGGCAAAGGCAGAAATCAGTTATTTTGTCCTTCTCGCCATATTCCCGGAGCTACGAGGAGGGGAGGGGGCAGGGGCCATTCCTCGTGTGCTCTGTGTGCTGCCCAGGAATCACTGCATTGGCTTTTCCCTTTTCCCGTATCCATGATTGTGAAGGGAGCAGGATCTGGCCAGATCAAGTGGGGATTCTGGGCAGAGAAGTTGTCTGAAATTCCTGTTGAGGTTTAGGGGAAGGGGTAAATCTGGCTCCTCTTTTGGCCTTCTGAGTTCAATTTGAGAAACCAGTTGAGAAACTGACAGGAGAGCAAAACAAAAGTTTTATTATTGACAGAAGCCGGACTGAGGGAATGCTCAGGTGCACAGTTGCAACGGGCTTTCTAATATCTTATTTCCAAATTGAACAGACTTACCCACCCAGTTACCGACCAAGCTGGACCTCCGCCAGCCTCCACAACACAGATGCACACAGACTGCCTATCAGCCAAAAAGTAAGCCCTCTGTGGGCAAGCCAGTTAAGAAAGAGAAAGCCCAGAGTAGCAAGCCAATCTGCTCGGTGGTGGAGAGAGGTCAAGGTGCCACTCCAGGGAAGCACGTCCTTGAATGGCCACGTGAGGCAGGGCCTGGGGGATGGGGTCCTTCCCACACTCCCTTCCATGTCTGACATGCTATGACTAAGTTTTCCCTTCATTTATCACTGTGCTTGTCCATCAGAAATGTACTGCTGATAAAATAATAGCTTACATTTGCTTATTCCTTCCTGGCTGCGTGCTTCATGTGTGCTGTCTTTAGTCATCAGAGGGTGGCTTTGTGCTTTTAGCCATTAAATCTTTGGCTCCATGCTAAGGTTGCCAACAAAGGTGCTCTGAAGTGCCAACTGCAGTGGTGTTTTTGGTTATGTTCACATCTGGTCCCCTTGCCTCCCCCAACCCCCACCCCACCCCAACACCAACCCTTTTCTACTTCAAACCTTCCTGAGACCACCAGTTCAATTCATGTAAATGTAGCTTTTACAGGGGCCTTGTAATACCACAGGCTTGCATTTGCCTGAAGTGTTCATCTGGGTCCCAGAAATTTGGCCAGAGTATTGGTCACTAAACTTTTGATCAGTGTCCACGTGAGTTAAATTATGGGCAGAGCAGTCCCTCTTCCCGCGCCAGTTCCACACACGCTCTAGCCCATTCTGGGTGAGGGTGCTAGTAAATATGTCAGCAAAAAGGCACTTAGGTAAACTTCTGAAAGTTTATCACTTTTATTTGTCTGCAGTATGACCTTCTCCAGCCACAGGGGAATCTTTGTATTATGTTTAACCTCTCAAGGCCTTTGTAAAAGTGTTGTCTTCATTCGGGGGCCGTCCAGTTTACAGAAACTTGGAAAAGGCCAGAGGACTCAGCAAAAAATGATGAAAAGCATGGAAAGCAGGCACCCGGAAGAAGAAAAGGCATTGAGGCTGCTCATCCTAAAGAAGGGGAGGCCTGGTGGGGGAAGAGGTCTTCTTTAGAGCTGTGAAGTGGATGAAAATTTCCCTTGTGGACCTTGGAGGATGAGCCCTGTCTCTAGCTCTTCGAGACTCTAGAAAAGAAGGAATGATACATATAAATCATGGGGAAAATGCCAATTTCCAGCACACCCGTCAGTGTGAGGGAAGCCTTTCCTCACCTTCCTGGCCTGGTTTAATTTCTCCAGCCCTTGCTCCCCCAGGGGGTTTCGGCTTTCTGTCTCTGATTGCACGTATCTGATTTTGCTTGGCAGTATACTGAGTGCCCCCAAGAAAACACATCCAGCTTCCAGACACTACCACATCCTTGTGTTTCTCGACATCATTGTCAACAACTCATTGGAGGCTGGTGGTAGCATTTTGAACACTTGTGATTTTTACAGTAAGCCGGCGTCTTACTCTGCTTGCTAAACTTTGTTAATAAATTGTGGAAACTGTGTCACTGTCCTTTTCAGAATTTAAAATTTTTTTCTCCCAAGGAAACTGTAAGCTCCTCAAAGGTAGGGTTGGAGATTCATTCATATGTGTGTACACTGCAGCATCCTGTGAGGTGCCTGTAATGCCAGAAATAGTTACACTAAGTTGTCAGGTTGAACTGAGGGAGGGGCTGTGAGCAAAGGCTTCGCATTCCCAACGGAGACTTCTCTAGTGACTCCTTTGGAACCTGTGACAGGGAAACATTTATGGCAGACGGTTCCAGGACAGCCCCTTCTTGAAACAAGAGGATGGCTGAAGGGGAACCCCTTGACAATTTTCAATCTTCTGATTCCGAGTGAAACACGGTCACTCTTACTCCTTAGAAAGAACTCCTGCTCAATAATTTCAGCCCAGCAATTGTGTAAGAGGGAACGAATGATCTGGTTCCCGTCCTTTACCAGCCTAACAGATACGTCACCAGTTTTTCCCACTCTTGACAATATCGATGGACAACAACTCCGAGGAAGAGCAGGAAGCCAGAGAACCACAGAGCAGCAGACCTCAGCTTCGAGAAGAATCCAGCATCCCAAGTTGCTCAGGAAGCTTAATGAAGTCTGTGCAGAAGGAGGGGCGGCAGGGGGGAGCCTGTGATGACTCACGATGTGGTGAAAAGACCAGTTCTTACTCCTTAGGAATGTCCTGTGGACTCACTGAGATAATGCGTATGAAGTGTTCAGAATGGTGCTCGGCACACAGTAAAAGTTCAGTAGCAGTTGTGTTGGGTTATTATTGTTTATTATTCTTATCATTAGTATTACAGATTATTTATTAATTAACTGTGGACTTCGGCTGATAATAATGTGTCCAGGTTGGTTGACCGATTGTACCAAATAAGCCACACTGATGAGGGATGTTGAGGGCAGGGGAGTATATGTGTGTGGGAGGGGAGGGCTATGTGCCAACTCTCTGTATTTGCTGCTCAATTCTGCTGTGAACCTGAAACTGCTCTAAAAGAATAAAGTCTATTAATTTAAAAAAATCACATACTATTGACACTATTTCCTATTCAAATATTTAATTGGATTATGAGTCTGGGCAGAAGGAATAGGTATTTACAAATTCTTGATTTGCTGATGATGTTGTGAGGTTATTGGAGCAGGCACATGTAGAAAGAGGAATAACTGGAGGTTAGTGTGGAAGGAAGATATAGCACCTTTGAGTTAATACTAGCGCCGTGAAAGACTGTTCATGACTTTAGGAAAGTACGATACTGCCTCACCACTTCAGGACCATGGCTGTTGCGTGAAGAGGGACTCATGAGGTGGGTCATCATAGAATCATAGTGCCAGAAGGAACCTTAGAAACCATTTTAGGGTTTTTGTTTGTTTGTTTTTAATTAAAGTATAAGTAACATACAGCAAAACGACCAGATCTTAAGCGTTTGGCTTGATGAGTTTTTGATGGTTGTATACACCCTACACCAGGTAAGAGAGCCTCCTGTCACCCCAACACATTCCCTCAAACCCCTTCCCACCCAGCTCCTCCCCTCCCCCAGCAGGCACTGCTGTGAGACCACGTTACAGATGAGGAAAAAGAGGCCCCAGACACTGAGTTGCTTGTCGCAGGTCACAGTTAGGCCATCTGAGCAGCCTCTGAATCCTAGGTTCCCTGATCTCCCTGTAGGAACCTACGTGTGGCTTCCCTGGTGCCATTTCCATTTTAATTGAGAGCCTTAGTGGTCACACTTAGCCTGATTATAGCTGCGTTACCTTGAAGTGCTGCATTTTCTCCCAGCCTTCAGTTGTGACCAGCAGTGCTAATTCCCACAACTGGAACAGCCTTCGTCTCCCTGGATAGTGCCATTCGCCTCCAGAGAGAATTTAACTCACCTTCTCTTTTGAACAAAGTGGCTTTTGGGGGTGTATCTTTGGCTACCCCAAGCTGTTCTCAAACCTTTTGGGTTCTTGGCTGCAAGAAATAGTCTTGCCCCATGGTATATTTCCACGCAGGCCAGTGGAATGCCTCTTTGCAAAATTGTGCTTCGATAGGTAGCATTTACTCTTACATCCCAACTTCGTCCTGAAGATGCTCTGCCCGGCGATCTCTCTGTCATTTAATGTGCTCCGATAGCTTTTCAACAGAGAGTGCAAGCTTAAATTACAATAGCACATTGTATACCTACGTAAATACATTAGGGAAAGGGATTGTGGTGGTTAGTCCAATAAATGACTTTTTTCACTTCACAAAATCTTTGATTGGATTGATGCACCAGCACAGTACTGGGACGATTGCGGCCTTTTCAGTTAAATGTTTACCAACAGGCTCCTTAACTCTCCTTCTCCATAAAACATGGTTATCAATCCAGGCACTTCGGCTAGCATCTAACGTCAGCAATGATATTCCTCCTGTCACTTTATCCTGGCAGAAGTGTTTATGGGTCTCCACCCACTTTTCTTCCCCTAAACTGTGGTGAAATGCCAGTGGGGCTGGAAGCTGTGTTCTGTGTACCAGGCTGGTGGAGGGTGAGGCTTATCTCCGCAGCTGCGTGGATCTCCTTGGGCAGTGCTGGCCTTGGGTGGGTGAAAGACACGTCAAAAATCTGGAGAGGAATTATTGTTGCAGTCTGCCCATACTGGGGCAGGCTGGCCTTTTAAGGTTTTTCAGTGTTCGTTATGAATCTAGTAAGTGCCTGTAGTTAGAATTACAATTTGTAAATTAAAATTAGGGGGATTTTCCATTCTGTTTGAATAAAGGATGTGTTAACAGGTGAAAAAAATAGAGTTTTCTTTGATGTTGGTTTCTTTGGGTAGCTCAGTTCTCTTGAGGCCTCTGAGTCAGGTTCTAGGAATTTTTTCAGCTCCACCTTTGACAGAGTAACTGGCAGTAGTCAAATGGTGTGGGCTGGGCTCTGATCTGTTTCCTTAAAAGGTTAATTCAGTTAAATTTGTATTGAAAGTAGATGGGGGAAAATATTGTATCCAAGTGCTTCTGTATTCCTTAACAGCACAACTCTGAACGGCCTTTGTAAAGAACACCGAGGTTACTTTTCAGTAAAACAGATTGAGTTCTTTTGAAAAGTTGGAACCTGTATTGTCATTTGGTTCACATGACTCATCACTGAATCCACATCTTTTATTCTAGGACATTTCAGAATGGAATTCTTTAATTTGGTTGCACTGTCCCTTCCTTTCCGAGTTACAAACTGTCCCTGAATTGGAGATTTTTTTTTTCCTTGGAGCATTGGAAATGCACATCTCTGAGGGCAGGAATTGCTTTTTATTGTGGTAGGGGGTTGTTTTGTTGTTTTGGGTCTTGGATGTTTTCCCCCTGTTTATTCTAAAACAAGATATTACCACTTTCACTTAGGTTAGAAGATAGTCAATTCAGAATTGGTAAGTATTTTGAAAGGTAAGTTTTTACTACCGTACAGAAGCAGACAAGCCTAGGTCTCAAATGGACTCCTTTGCTTTTAAGTCCATCAGACCCACTGCGTCTTAGAAGTTGTCTCTATCCGTCAGAGTTCCTCATCTCCATGGTGAGAAGAATAAAACTGATTTACCATAAAGCACATCTGTTTATTTTGCGTTGTTCCCAGGTACGCTGGCATTTGTGGTCACATGGAATACCCGTGCCGCTTCCAGAATGCTTCTGCCACCACCCAGGAGATCATCCCTCATCGGGTCTTTGCCCCGCTGTGCCTCCAGGGTGCCTGCCAGGAGACCCTCCTGCCGCTGGTCCCTGCTTGCCTCACGGCGGCACACTCCGTCCTGGGAACACACCCATTCTCCAGGCTGGATGTACTCATCGTCCCTGCCAACTTTCCAAGCCTGGGGATGGCCAGGTACGTTGTTCCGTTGTGGCACCTGGAGGGCATGCTTTGGAAATTCTTTGCCAGTTTCTTGCTTTCCCAAAGCTCTGTCAGCGCCGTCACTTGATTAGGTGGGAAGGGCCAGGATTGCTCATGTCTCATTGCCGCCCTGAGGGACAGCGTGTGTGCACTCTACTACGCGTGAGCCTTTGGCTGTCATAGGCTCAATTCAGTTGCCCTGAAAATAGAAAGCGCCCATCATTGCTGGGATTGAGAACGCACTGTGCCCCTAGAGTGATGTATGTTGGATGGTGGCTGATCAGCGGCTGGTTAGCTTAGGTGGTAAGAGCGTGATGCTTATGGGCCCAAGGTCAGAGTGCTGGGCAGGGTAACACAACGTGGTCCTAAGGCACAGGCTGCTCGCATAATCCTGACCAGCTGTCTCATCCATTCTCCCCACTGGTCACAGGGCAACAACTCGAGAGCGCCTGTGTCAGAGAGACTATGGATGGATCAGCGTAAATCTATCACCACTGCTGGAAAAACAGCTCAAAGCAGATGGCTCGCTAGGGGGAGTCGGGGGCGGGGGTCACTTGTCTGGTTACTATTTTTAATATAATAAATGTGTTATTCTTATTGTTGTCTCCATTCAGCTCCTATAGAAGCTCAGGTCCTGCAAGTTGGCCTTTTCCGTGTTGTTATTTATGCCTAAAATTCATTCATTAACGCCATTGTTCATTCAGTAAGAGGTAGCTGCGTTCCGCTCGGCGTTTTACTTGGTTATGCACTCAGGATTTTACTTGGTTCTATTTCTGTTTGAAAACCTTAATCATTAACAGTGAATGTGCTTGACTAAGGATGGGAAAAATAAGCTCATCAAAACATGTGACTTTAAGTTTTTCCCTGTTAGTCAAGGAAATTCCTGCTGCCAGTTAATTTCCATGCTTTTGAGCAGCTGTCATTTGTGGTGTTTTCCCGGAAAGCTGCACACATTCTTAGTAAAGCCCATGAGTAGAAAAGAACTGACCAGAACATTTGCTTTTGATCTTTACTACATACGCATACTTTTTAAAAGCTGGCTGGCTGGTCTTAATCCTTGAGGAGGTCTGAGAAGGTCATTTAGACCGATTTTTATCCTATGGTCGTAAAGACAATGGGAATGTAAAAACTCGGATAATTATATGTATTTGGTGATTGCATCATGTAATTGTCTTGACTGTCTATATATAGAATTTGTCTTAACAAGGAGGCTTCTTTGGTCCCTTTGAAGAGTCTGCTGGACTTAATTTGAGCAGAATTATTGGCGAAGGAAGGGCTGTTCGTTAAATGTTTCTCATTTGTATACCGTTTTGAGGGGCTGTGTTTATTTGGGAGTTTTTAGCACTTTATGAGAGTTGCAGTTTTTCGGGGCATGTCTGCTCACAGTTCCAAGTTCTGACCTGAGGGAACCAGAAGCAGAGCATCTTTCATGCAGAGAAACTTACTTCTTTTCTATAGCTCCTTCCTGACACCAGTCTGCCAAAATCAGAATTTGTTGCCCTGAAGGCTGGTCTATAAAGCGTCCTTTTTAGGTTTGCATGCCTGAGCAGGTAGGCCGTGTGTTTGCTGCTTTTTGAGATATTTAAATTGATTTAAACATGCTTAACTTTTTTTTTTTT